CGACGAGCGGGATCGCGCGCCTCGCGGTCCCGCTCGTCGTCCTCCTTCTGCGAGATGACGGTCTCGCAGAAGGAGGACACCGCCCTCCACGACCTCTCGCTCCCCACCATGGCCGCAACCACGGCCGGGAGCGAGAGGTCTCCCCCTACCGCTAGACGGAGCACCCGCCTCTCCCTGGCAAAGGCCGGGCACTCCTCCAGCACGTGCTGCGCGGAGTCGACCTCCGCGCAGCTCTGATCCTCGCGAGGCTGCCTCAACCTATAACTATCTCGATCGAGTTGCCTCGCGTCTTAAATAGAATACGTGAGGCAAGCAAGCGAGGCAGGGTCAGCCAACAGTTACTGCGAGGCAACCATGGCATCTACGCTTGGTGCTACTGCTGCTGCAGCGTCCGCCTTGATGGTGATTTTCAGATCTTTGAAAAATAAAAAGACACGAAAGCCTTTAAAAGATGCCCGTTTCCAACCTCTGTCCTCGGGGTTGTCGATATAAAAATTCCAATGCCGAACGTCTCCGGGTTATTTCCCACCATTACCACGTGCTGAGCCGACTCCAGGTACCGCGCAAAGTTCTCCAACGTGAGAAAACGGAGACCTAACCCAGCGCAACATACCGATGTTGAGAAATCTTCGAAGGGCAAGTCCTCGAAGTTTTCTGCATTCCAAGTGGTCCGTCCCTACACCTACTTAATTTATTATGGAGTTTTTGCAAACACTCTATTAATTTAATAATTTATTTCCCCGGGAACAGGTAATCGTCGTAGCAATTGGTTACGGATGTAACAATAGAAATAGATGAATGCAACATATGACATTTGAATCAGTTGAAGATACCACACAAAATTTTGTGCGAAAAAATTATACATATACGAGACAAGCCATTACCGTCAAAAAAAGAGTGGCTATTACATTAAGACTTTTAGCTACTGGAGACTCTTTTACGAGTTGACAGTAATTTTTCCGTGTGTCAAAGCAAACGATATCAACCATCATTTCAGAAGTAACAAATGTTAGACCTTTGCTTATTGTATACAACGGTGCCGAGAAGATTAAGAAGGTAGAATATTCAAAGACAAAACGAAATCAACGCGTGTATTGTTGTTGGATATTGAATAGAAAGCGGAGTTCTGCCAGAGCATACTAGTCGCTGCTATTAACTATAGAGAATTTAGGATTGGAAAAACTTATTTCTGAAAATGGTAATAGCTGAACGCTGTAGAAGGTATACGATTAAAATTAAGGTTTTAACGTATATATCAGGGGGACGTTCGAACATCAACCGTCTTGTATTGGTTCTATACTTCTTGTGATCATCGCGTAACAATATGCGTCCAAATGAAGCGAGGAATGAACTGCGAGGCACCTTTGATTGCGTCAAAAAACCGACAATTGTTAGCCCGCCGCGAGGCACGTCTCGTGTCGCAGCCTCACACGCCAATCTCGCAAGTCGGCCTCGCAGTGTCTATACATAACGTTATAGTTACCGGTTGCACACAGATTACCTGGCTTTAGGAGTTCCTAACCCCAATTTTTAATTGTTAACAACTTGAAAACGAAACCTCCATACAATTTCGTTGCTTTTATTTTCGTTTCATTTTGGCATGCAGAATCACTCTTTAAAATTTTTGACACCAGTAGCCAAACATCCTGCATCTCAATCTTCGAGTTTTATTGTTTGCAGTTATTTCCTAGAATAGAAGTTATGAATAGTTATATTAAATAACTGTGAAATATCGTACAGTAATTATTGTTGAGGCTTTCGTGTGTAAGGCTAGTGTCACAGTGGCATCGACATCGGTCGTCAGATTTTTGTCAGAAGTCGACCGATTTGATTGGTTACTAAGGTCACGCAGTGCTTCCCAATACCTTTGAAAAGTTCAGCCAACGTCGGGCGTCGGGCGAATTGTCCGATATTAGTGCTACTGTGACCTCAACCTAAGCCATACTCCTTTGCAAAAATTATTACAATCTCTAGCATTACAGCTAATTTGATCAGGTGTTCATCACTACCGGCTCATGTTCCTGTGCATACTGATATTAAAAAAGTTCACTGTAGAAAAATTTACATGGGCCTAAAATTTATTACAAAAGTATACAATTTTAGCTGAGAATATAATTTAAACTGCAACAGCAATATACAACAAATCGTAGAAAAGACAACGGTGAAAGGTAAAAGAAAACCAAATTCTCTTGGTAAAGAAAAGCCAACAATCGTGTACTATTTTGCAATCATAGATTTTGCTTTGATGGTTTAGGCAATTTATGTTACAATGTGTGACTTCCAGCACGCAATATTAAAATATCAAGTAGCAGAACCTGCCATGGTATGTAGAAGCACTAATATACGAGGAATATTACCGTACCGTTCATAATAAACTTTCTGGCATGCTACAACAATGTTTCATACAAGAGTCACATATTAATTTTTCAAATGCAAATTTCAACATGTTTGTCATGTTGTTAGAAATATATTTTCAGTTCCACAATAGTAGAAAAAGATTACCGTTACATTTAACGTGTTATCACACAAACGGAAATGTTCGCTTGCATTTCAATGAATTCACATGGTACGTACATATACAGGGTGTCCCAAAAATGTCCTCCGACCCGGAAATGTGGCACTCGGGGGGTGAATTGGAACAACTTTTTCCTTAGCAAAAATTTAGACTGAGGCTTCGTTTACGAGATATTAACGAAAAACCGCGACCAATCAGAG